AAAGTGGTAAATATTTATTAATTGATGAGAATTTGACAAAAAACTGTTTTACAATATATTCAAATAGTACTTTAATATTTTGTCAATAAAAGATAACTTAATTTGAAATTATAACGTCAGGTATAAACAAGCTTAGGTACATGTACAAGTGAAAATGACAGCGTGTCCGTTTAGCGCCTGTGTGTTAATTGCGGCACACGTAAATAATTAGATACATTGTAACGTTTCATTATGGACATTGATAATGTTTTAAAAAAATAATTTTATTAATAATTTACACAAACTTTATGCATTTGATATCTTAATCAACCTGTGTATAGCCAAATCGAGGAACGTGGCAACCGGGGGGGGGGGGGGGGGGGGGTAAATGTTAAAATAGAAATAGGTACCACATATAACGTAGAGAACAAGTGCTGCGTTTGATGTTTATTCCTCATATATACATGCACGAGGGGTACACTGTAAAAATTGTGTTTACAGATTGTAAACGCTTTTCCATGACCGGTCAAACTTAGATAAAATCTTAACATTTATCCATATATGTTTATAACTAAAATTTATGTCTAAACGGTGATTATATCTAAAAATATACACGCTTTTGCTATTTTGATAAAACTTGCTTCACGGAAATGACAAAGATACTCGTATATTTGAACGTTAATAAAAGACCCTTTATTAACAAAGTAAATTTTTACAAAATTGTAAGGGACATAGACATGTAGAGATTTTACTGCAATAACCATGAAGAAATATTGAAAATCATTTAAAGATCTTTTTACTGCAATATATTATCAAGGTAAGAAACACTTTTTATTAAGATTTGCATTATTAAACCACGATGAGCAATGTAAACAGTGCCTTTGAGGTCGTAGTGTAGTACCCAAGTATATATTGGATTTCAATTTAAAAAACCATTAAAATTTAAGATGCTGCCAATGCAACTTTAAAAATTGATGCAAAGGCAGAATGTACTTTAATTAAATGGTTTCTTTCCTAAGAATGGAGTAGTCCTGATTGAACTCAATATATATATGTATATCAAAGTACCTGCATCTGTTGCATAGCGCATATCCAAGTTTTGCATTGTTGTTCCTTGATTAACTGCAAACGTTTTTTATGAAGTTATAAGATTTCCCTTAATCCGAATCAAGTTCAATTTGAATAGTAGATAAAGTTATCATGTTGTGATTAGATCCTTACAATTTTAAATGGATTAAATTTGGCAATTTAATACTGATGAAATTATATCATGTGGTGCTTGAAGATATTTAGAATGCTGAAAGTTAAAAAGTTTGACAATTTGGTGAATGACATATGGTACACTCTTGCCCGATGGAATACTGTAACCCCATAATCATATGCAAAATATTTTATATAATAAATATTTTATAATTTTAATTGAAATACATGTATCTTAAATTATGCATTATTAAAAAGATTAAAGGAAGTCTTGATATAAAATTGCTAGCTTATTTTATTCTTGCTGCTCATCCCTGCCTTATTATTTAAATATAATGTATGTCATGCTGATTGAACTTATATATAGAGATCAAAATATTTTTTAATTGTAAAGTATTTTTCTAAATAATCAGAGGCCTTATGATGAATAATTTACATCAATATTTATATTAATATTTTTACATCAATATTTATATTAATATTTTGAAAATTTTGACAATATTATTTGTATTAAGTAATATGCTCTTTGTGCCAAAATTTACATTTAGTGTTTATATTTTTATGCAGGTAAAACTTATTTTTATATGTTACGTCTAGACATGTTTAAATTCTAAGCACATAATTAAGAAATGTGTTTAAAATTCAAACACTTCTTATGCACATTTTTGATCACCTTCTTTTAAATACGTTTAATAAACATGTAAAATTTACTAAACATGTATGAGAAAGTGTTCTAGAATCTAAACACGTATGTGTATAGCCATTCGAAACACTTTCTCATACGTGTTTAGAAACTAAACATGTTTAGGAATTTTGAACATATAAAAAGAAGGTAGAAAAAAAAGTGTTTAAAAAGTGTTTATTCCTATATATACATGCACGAGTGTATTAGAAAAGTTTGCGGACAGGTTCTATTGTAAATGCGCTATTTCCACGAAACCGGTCAAACTTTCCAGATAAAATCTTAACCTTTTTCCAATTGATATACAAGAATTTGGTGCTCTCCGGTGATTATTGAAAAATATACAGCTTTTTTATTTTGATAAAACTTGCTTCACGGAGCATGCCACATTTTGTCAAGTTTACAAAGACTCTTTATTAAAATTAAATATTGAACAATTGTCGCGCAAAGACATGTATGATATTTTACCTGCCGCTAAAGCATGCAGGAAACGTCACGTGGATAAATTCTGAACTAAATTGGAGGGTATATGACTGTTTTATAGCCGTTTATAAATGATCAATGCGTAAAAACACAGCCAAAAATCGGAACGTCATTGAGCGTCATGGAGCACTGCACTGCGTAAAAATTATGTGTGCAGACAGAAAAATGTCTAAAAAGAGATTAAAATGTTTAAGATGCTGCCGGAAATTTCCTACATATGCAAAGAAGAAGTTTTTAAATGGTTGGAGCTACATAAGAATGGGAGGAGTGCATTCTGAATGATTAACTTCATCTTTACTTCAATACCACCCTTATCGCATGGACGTTGCGTTGCGCCTATATGGTTTTGCATAGTTTCCATACCTGATTAACTGCATAGACTTTTTTTTTATTTTATAAGATTTCAATTATATCCGAATCAATACAAAATATTTTATAGTAGAAAAGTAATATGTCTTGATATAGATATTCAATTTTAAAGTAGAATAAAGATAAGAAAAATCTGAGGAAATGAAAGATATAGAATAGCGACAAACCTTAAGGGGTTGAAATCTGGTTGTCACGTCGCTTACGTCAAGTGATTGCTCCGTGAATCCCATGACCCCATAGTAAAAATAGTTGTAAAATTTCACGATTTTATCATATGGACTTGATTTTTTACATACCAATGTGCATTTTCGAGCAATACCTATACTTCGTTGAACGAATACTTCCGAGAGCAGCATTAGCAAACTTCTAATGCAAGAACGCCGCGTAATCAGAGGCAGATCCAGGGCCGGTGCCTCGGGTGTGTGTACCCCTCCCCCTTTTCGAATGTTTAAAGCAAGATTTTCTATACTAAAACACATTATTAAAATCAGGTTCCCTTATTATGTGTTGAAGAGGGTGTGTGTGTTCGTGAATTTAACCCTAGGGCAGGGTTTGTGCCCTCATTGTTGCCAAAAAGGAACGCATAACATTTTGTATAATCTTTTGATGGGGGCACACACCCTTGACAACCAGCTGAATATCTGTATCCAGGGTGCCCTGCTTTTTTTTAACTTGAATTATTCATGAATTATTTATTACATCCCGATTTATCAAAATATCACAATTTTATTTAGGGGAAAGGCCTGCCCTGAAAGACTTCTAGGACAAAATTATTTTCTAAATGTCACTTTTTTTTCGGGAAATTGTTCTCTCCTATAAGTCATTTTATTTTGTCAAAGTAAATACATCCTATGATGAGCGATGTCGGAAACTAGTTTTTTACCACTCTTTTATAACAAATGTCATAATTATTAATACATTAAACACAGAATAGAAATAATTCCTCCTTTTTGAGATTATTTTGATAATAAAATGATAAATTCATTATTTACGTAAAGGTCAGCTAAATATTACAGTATTCCTATTACATATTATGTTGGTTTTTTTTAACAGGATGCTTGTTTTGTTTGTCACTAATAGACATCCCCAACCAGTGGCGTATATTCCATGTAGGCAAAAAGGCTGTAGCCTACACATCATTTTCTCGAGAATAAAAAAATAGATTGAATAAAGGGGCGGGGATTTGATAATAAATCGTACCTATTAATTTATTTTGTTGGAAATGAAAAAAAAAACAATCTTAGCAATCCGCACTTTTATATACCTATCCGATATGTTTACAGTTTTGCTTTGTATTTAAGGACAAAACTAATTACCTTAACTTGACATTTTTTAAGGCAAAGCTCAAGTGTTATTAATATCAAGTCCGTATCAGAAAATTTGATAAAAAACAACAGGATCCCCATAATATGTGCAGGAAACAAAAATGATAACGCATTTATTTATATTTGTTGGTAGGAAATTCAACATTTTGGTCGAATTTTGATTATTCAGTTAGGAAATTTCCTTATTTTCTAAGCAGATATCGAGTAAAAGGATATTAAGTTTTCAGTTTTGTTATGTGGTTTTCACATCATGATATAAACTGCAATATATGTACAATATAATTTTCACTGGTCAAATTAAAACTGTAGATGTCTGAGTTTGAAAATATGCCCCCTTTGAAAATCTCCCATACCTATCGAAAGGAAACTCCTTGTCTACCCATGCTTTGCACCTCAGGTTAAATGTGTAACTTAATTTGAACACACAAGCCCGCACATTAATATCAGAAAGTAATATACGCCACTGCCAACCCAAAAGCATACGTGTACATGGAAAACAAGGCCACAGACTTGGGCTGACATATTTTAAAATCACGATTGGATGAATATATTGGGCCATTTACTGAAAATATTTTTAAAAAAGCATAATCTACATATTGAAATATAAGTGCCCCCTCCTTCACTCTCGCGCGCGCTCTCTGAAACATTCTGTCTACCTTAGACTTTAACACTGATTTTTCCTATATATTCCTATGTAAAACTTGGGTCGGCCATTTTACATCCCGATTTATCGAAATATCACAATTTTATTTAGGGAAAGGCCTGCCCTGAAAGACTTCTAGGACAAAATTATTTTCTAAATGTCACTTTTTATTCGGGAAATTGTTCTCTCCTATAAGTCATTTTTTTGTCAAAGTAAATACATCCTATGATGAGCGATGTCGGAACCTAGTTTTTTTTTACCACTTTTTTTATAACAAATGTCATAATTATTAATACATTAAACACAGAATAGAAACAATTCCTCCTTTTTGAGATTATTTTGATAATAAAATGATAAATTCATTATTTACGGAAAGGTCAGCTAAATATTACAGTATTCCTATTACATATTATGTTGGGTTTTTTTTAACAGGATGCTTGTTTTGTTTGTCACTAATAGACATCCCCAACCAGTGGCGTATATTCCATGTAGGCAAAAAGGCTGTAGCTTACACATCATTTTCTCGAGAATAAAAAAATTGATTGAATAAAGGGGCGGGGATTCGATAATGAATCGTACCTATTAATTTGTTTTGTTGGAAATGAAAAAAAAATCTTAGCAATCTGCACTTTTATATACCTATCTGATATGTTTACAGTTTTGCTTTGTATTTAAGGACAAAACTAATTACCTTAACTTGACATTTTTTAAGGCAAAGCTCAAGTGTTATTAATTTATATCAAGTCCGTATCAGAAAATTTGATAAAAAACAACAGGATCCCCATAATATGTGCAGGAAACAAAAATGATAACGCATTTATTTATATTTGTTGGTAGGAAATTCAACATTTTGGTCGAATTTTGATTATTCAGTTAGGAAATTTCCTTATTTTCTAAGCAGATATCGAGTAAAAGGATATTAAGTTTTCAGTTTTGTTATGTGGTCTTCACATCATGATATAAACTGCAATATATGTACAATATAATTTTCACTGGTCAAATTAAAACTGTAGATGTCTGAGTTTGAAAATATGCCCCCTTTGAAAATCTCCCATACTTATCGAAAGGAAACTCCTTGTCTACCCATGCTTTACACCTTAGGTCAAATGTTTAACTTAATGTGAACGTACAAGCCCGCACATTATCAGAAAGTAATATACGCCACTGCCAACCCAAAAGCATACACATGGAAAACGAGGCCACAGACTTGGGCTGACATATTTAAAAATCACGGTTTGATGAATATATTGGGCCATTTACTAAAAATATTTTTAAAAAAGCATAATCTACATATTGAAATATAAGTGCCCCCTCCTTCACTCTCGCGCGCGCTCTCTGAAACATTCTGTCTACCTTTTGATATTCAGACTAAATGAAAAATATCAATGTTCGAGCAAAATATAAACATAAAAAGATTCAGTTAACATATATACTAAACAAAAAAAGAAACGCATATTGCTTTACTCGTCAAAGAAATTTTTCAAATGTACATGGAACAACTATCTTTTATATCATTGGATACCTGTGACCTATTTAAAGGACAACATAGTGTTAATTATCCCCTTATTAAACGCGTTTATGAAAGTAATTGTTTTTCATGATTTCTTCTGAATCGGACGTCTATTTTTGCTCATATTTTGCAATGAGAATATCAACACTTATTAAACCCATATTTAAGATTTGATAGCAGTGTTGATGCTGCAATGCCACGCCGAAACAAAGATAAATACAACCAGGCTAACGATTATAGTAAACGGAGTTGCGCAACAGGAAGTTGAAACTGCATTTGGAATACATCAATTGGCCTTGCAGGCGTTTAACTATCATCGGAAGACCAAGAATTAGCCGTGCGCACGTAACCGCACTCAGACAGGACCGTCTGACACCCCCCTTCAGAACCTCACGCGATTCAGAACTTGCTCTAAAATCTGCTGCTACAATTGCTGGATAAAAATTTCAGCATAAAAGTGCATAAATTGTTTGCAAGAGACTGAGTAGCTGGTATTCATACACGACATCCGTATATTGGAAATCCACCAGCGCTTAGACGTTGCAAAGGACATATGGATTAGTTTAGACGGTATGCACCAAGAATTTGGAGGGGTCGACCATGACATAAACTTCACTTTTCTACTCGCAATACATGATATGTTAAATTTTTATCAAAACCCTCTAAAATCCCTTTTGAAAAAAAATAAGGATTAAACTGAAAACTTTGATTTTCATGTTTAATCTGAATATGCGTTTTTTTTTTGTTGCGTATACATCTGACCTGTATTTAGCTATGTAATTGTAGACTTTAACACTGATTTTTCCTATATATTCCTATGTAAAACTTGGGTTGGCCATTTTGGCCCCATCCTTGCCCCGGGGGTCTTGATTTGAACAAACTTGAATCTACACTACCTGAGGATGATTCACATGTATTTCATCTTTCCTGGCTCAGTGGTTCTGGAGATTTTGAAGATGATTTTAAAAAAATGCCATTAATTTTTAACAAATTCAAGATTATCTCCCCTTGGAAAAGGGCGTGGTCCTTCATTTGAACAAACTTGAATCCCCTTCACCCAAGGATACTTTATGCCAAGTTTGATTGAAATTGGCCCAGTGGTTCTTGAGAAGAAGATGAAAATGTGAAAAGTTTACAACGACAACGACGACAACAACGACAACGACAGACGACGGACAAATTTTGATCAGAAAAGCTCACTTGAGCCTTCGGCTCAGGTGAGCTAAAAAACCAAAACAAATAGACCATTTCTGCTTATAACCTGGCTACTTTGGAGGGCTTCTGTTAAACAATGGTCCAGAACAGACATGCAAATATGGAAAGCATAGACTAACGCCAATACATGTACATTTCTATTTTTTTAATGTTTTTATTTGAAATAAGAAATGAGGTATTTAAAATCTGTTTAGCCTACGCTATTTACCATGCATAAATAATGTACTCAGTATTTATGCTAAAATGGGTTTATATTCGTTTTTATATAATTTACAGTAATTTTTCTTATAAAAGATTTAATTCTTGCAATGTAAGGTTTTAATAACATGAATTTATATAATTTAAATTACATATCACTTTGAAACTCTCTATTTAAAAAGGTTGCTAATAAACTGCATATCATAGAATGATGTATGAATAATACATTGTGCTCGTACTTTCTTTTTGACATGTAATTTTTTCCCTTAGCAAAAAAGAATTAAATAACATTAAAAATTTATTTATTGCATAACCTTACATTTGAACATCTGTCGTTTCCTCTACTCTATGAACCTGTACCACGCAGTTGCATTTATAATGCCATGAATGCAACTCCTCCGACTTTTACTACAGTTTATGTCCAGACTTTGCAAGGTTCCCCATTATAAAATGAAGTTCGGGTTATATATATTGAAAACACTGTTAGGGGAATTTCCAAAACAAATTAAAAAGTGAATATGCTTATACTCATTTTTTTTGTTGGAAAACTCATGACAAAATATATAACAAATATGCAATAAAAATGACTCAAAGTTCATAACAGGTGCTCCTATGTACAATGTATACGTTAAAAGAAAAGGTAACTCTTACCAATGGTAAGGAATAATGACGAAAATGACATTAAATACTGTAAATGATATATGACAGGAATATACAACAGAGCAAACACAGATCCCTAAACATCAGAGGTGGGATCAGGCGACATAAAGGAGCAAGAATCACCCGCCAATTGCCCCTTGTCCTGATCCGGAAGTATATTTTCTTTCTCCTCCTATCTATCAAAAGAAAAGTCTTGTTCAACTAGACGCTCGGTTACTTTCGTCGTTTCCAACAAGCTCCTCGGACTTTATGGCGATAGCCAAGCTTCTGGTTGCCTAAGACTATTTGAATGATGACGTCATTTATTTTTCTCGAAATGAGGAAAAAATAATTTAGCCAAAATGTAATGTTAAAACAAAATTCATTAAACTAGTCTGAAGAGGCACATATTGTGTATACATTTTTGTTATCGATACAGCTCATATAGAATTACTTTTAATATATTTACAAGGTATCAAGATGTGCTTCTTTATTTTCATCATTATTTTCCTAAAGTAAACAGGTTTTATAATGCACACATTACAGCCTTCCTTTCCTCTGTCATCTTGATAAAATCATTGAATTGAAAATACACGTCGTATAAGTTATACACAATTGCTATGTCAATATGAATAGAAGTACATTGTACATGTAATAACTCTGCAAGCAAATTTTCCAGGGTGCAATAACACTGATTAATATTTATTTTTAATAATTGCATAATACGTTAATCATAACATAAGCTTTCATACAATGTACCATGAAGATATAAAACCCCATGATGCATGTAATAACAATTATAAAAGTACAAAAAGATATAAGAAATTCTTTTAGCTTTGAAACTTTCCATTTTATGAAGCCTAACACTTTTTTTTATTTTATTTTGCTATTGGTCTTAAAACATAACAAAACATTAGACAGCATGAAATTGCAGTATTCTTGATTTATCATCAAAAGATGACTTTTAAGGTTACTATTCATTGTGTATACAACTCTTGACAAAGATAACTGCTTGCATTTTTTGTAAAATATGTTTATTACACAATAAGTACTAGTATATGTTTTTTTGTAAAATATGTTCACAATACATGTTCCGTAAATCTGGAAATTTTTACGTCGATTTATTTTTGCGAATTTGGGTCAAAAAGCTGTTGATTAATTTTTACGCTTCAAATTTTTGTGAATTGTCACTGGTGCTAGAAATAAAAAAAAAACATTCAAAATTTTCATATCAGGTTATGTTTTAAATACCGGTAATATCCCCATATAGAATATCACCAATATACTCGCAATGTGGCATGATATTGTAAAATCGCTCCGAAACAATTTTGATAAAAATACAAAAGGATTTGCTCTGAAAATAATTTCTAAATCAATTATAACAAACATTTTGGAGGTTGTGTATTCCTTTTAACCTATATATATAAAGTATATTCCAAATGAAGATAAAATATATTAACTTATTTTCTAAACGTTTGGTTTTTTCTCACCTAAAATTTACACGCCGTGTTTACATTTGGAACTTTCTAGTTTGAGTTATCGCCCGTGTTTATACACGGTTAGATAAAATGACAGTTCTCTCTTTATTGGCAAATTAATTGCTGAAAATAATTACAAGAGGCCCAAGGGCCTTGAATCGCTCTTCTGATAAATTGTACAACCTATCACTTGTATTTGAAGCCTCTAACCCTAAGTATCCTATTAAAGACCCAAGTTGCATCACCTGACAAAGTTTTATGATTCTTAGCCAATTAGAACTCCTTTTTGGTCTACATTCTTAGAAATCACAAAATTTATCAAGTGACAAAGTTTGATAATTCTAAGCCAATAAATACCTGAGATATTCAAAAGTAGGTCACTGTGACTTACTCTTTGGTCAACATTCTCAGAAAACCCAAGATGCATCAACTGACAAAGTTGATGATTCTTAACTAATAAGTACCAGAGATAGCAATAAAATGTCGAAAGTAAGTCATTGTGACCCACATTTTGGTTGACATTTTTTAGAGTCCCAACATGCATCTGCTGACCAAGTTTGATAATTTTAAGCCAATAAATACCTGAGATATTCAAAAGTAGGTCACCATGACCTACTTTTAGGTCGACATTCTCCGAAAATCCATGATGCATCAACTGAAAAAGTATGATGATTCTAAATAGATAAGTACTAGAGATACATAAATATAGCCATAAAATGTCAAAAAGTAGGTCACTGTGACATACTTTTTGGTCGACATTCTCCGAAAACCCAAGATGTATCAACTGACAAAGTTTGATGATTCTAAGCCAATAAGTACAGGACAATACTTAAATATAGCCATAAAATTTGAAAGTAGGTCATCGTGACCTACATTTTTGTTATATATTTTTAAAACTCCAAGATGCATCACCAAGTTTGATAATTCTAAGCTGATAAATACCTGAAATATTCAAAAGTAGGTCACCATGACCTACTTTTTGGTCGAAATTCTCCGAAAACCAAAGATGCATCAACTGACAAAGTATGATGATTCTAAACCAATAAGTACTAGAGGTACATAAATATAGCCATAAAATGTCAAAAAGTAGGTCACTGTGACCTACTTTATGGTCGACATTCTCTGAAAACCCAAAATGCATCAACTGACAAAGTTCGATGATTCTAAGCCAATAAGTGCCGGAAATATTTAAATATAGACATAAAATGTCTAAAGTAGGTCACTGTGACCTAATTTTTGGTCGTCACTGTCCGAAAACCCAAGATGCATCAACTCACAAAGTTTGATGATTCTAAGCCAATAAATACTAAGATACTTAAATATAGCCATAAAATGTCGAAAGTAGGTCACCGTGACCTACATTTTGGTCGATATTTTTCAGATTCCCAAGATGCATCTCCTGACCAAGTTTGATGATCATATGTTTAAAGGTAATCAAAATATGCCTTTTAAACAATTTGAAAACAAATGCCTGCAAAATTCTAAAAGTAGGTAACAGTGACCTACTTTTTCTTAAATATGTTTTAAGGTCCCATGATGCAGGAACTTACAAGATTTGATGATTCTAACCCTTTCAGTGCCTGAAATAATGGGATTAAATGTTTTGAAAAGGACAAGTCATAAAGTTCAAAAAGTAGGTCACGGTGATCTACTTTTAAGTTGACGTTGTTCAAGGACCCAAGATGCATCAACTGACTTAGTTTGATGATCATAGGCCTTAAAGTATCCAAAATATGCCTTTAAATCAATTTGAAAACAAATGCCCGCAAAATTTAAAAAGTAGGTCATTTGACCTACTTTTTGATTATCATGATTGAAGTCTTAAGATGCATCATCTTACAAGATTTGATGATCCTAGTCCTTATAGTAAGCAAAATATGAACATTTTTATTAATTGTAAATTTAGGTCAACTGTGACCTTGAGACCACGCCTTTTGCCCCAGGGTCATGCCTTGAACAATTTTTAATCTTCAACATATCCTGATCCTTGTATGTAAGTTTGGTGAAAATCTGCCCCGTGGTTCTGGAGGAGAAGATTTTTTAGCTTTTTAGCAACCAGTGCTTTTTGTTTTGTTTTCCTGATTATCTCCCCTTGTTTTAGGGTCCCAACCCTTATTTTAATATAAATGGTAGCCCTTGGGCCGAGGATACCCTGTGACAAATTTGACACTGATTGGCCAAGGGGTTCTTGATTTATGGCCCATATTCTAAAAAGTTAGCGCACACCGCACGACGCACAAATGGCCATAGCATTAGCTCTTTGAGCCTTTGGCTCAGAAGAGCTAAAAATGCAAATTTGCTAAAAATTTATCTACAGTAAAAAATTTCAGATTTACGGTATATATCTCGAGAAACAACGGGCAACGGGCCTTATACATGTAGGTCACCTTAGTATCATGTAACAGCTTTTCAACAATTAAATATGGTTCATTTTTAAACCAGAGGCCATGAAATCCACAACTTTGAAAGTAGCATCATTGCTCATCATAACCACAGAAAATTCTGACCCTAGGGCAAAACATTTAACAATTTTGGAAATGACACCATTGAGTTCAAATTCTAGAGAGGGACGCTAAACCAAAAAAAAACAACAAACAATCAATCAATCAGTAGAGCCTCTCCTCAGCCTCAAAACCCCTGACTCAAGGACAATGAAATTCAAAATTTTAGAGCAGTCAGCCTTGCTTATCATAACAATGCATTCCGTTTGCTAACCTAATTCCAAGAAACATTGGATATGATTTTTATAGAAATGATGCATTTTCAATATGTACTCAACAAAACCCCGTTCTAGCCCCAGAACACCTGACCCTGGTGCTATTTATTTCACAATTTTGATGGAGGGGGTAATGTTTTCTAAAATCATGCCAACAGTTTGGCTGTTTGATGTCCATGAGTGAAGGAGATTTTTTTAATCAATGCATTAATTTTGATGGTTTAAGCCCAATCCCTCAGGCCCAAGGGGAGCAGGGGCAATAAATTTAAAAAAAAATCACAACGCTTTCTCCATCAATGTAATTTGTCAAAATAGGTTGAAATTGGTTTAGCAGTTTCAGAGAAGCTGAAATTGTTTAAATGTTAACTCACATCTAACGAAGCACGCCGACGGAAAAAAAGCACATATAAAGAGGTCTCCTGAATAAATTCAGCTGCTCTAAAAAATTATATATGCATAATTTTATGCACAAAATTAGAAATAATAAAGATGACTGTACAAAATTATCTTTAAAAAATTTTTACATTAAATTTTTTTGGTCCTTTAAGACTGTAGAATCGTTATTTCAAGATTTCCTGTTACGATTTCCAGAAAGCTTTCAGAGCCTCAATGACATCATTTCGCTCTAGAAATGTCAATGCTCTACACAAGTCCTGGCGACATAGAGTCGGACATTCCTCTCTAGTTTGTAAGAGAGCTTCATATACCCTTTTCTCTATTTTCTGAAAGTTTTCCTCAATCTTTTCTATACTTCTCTGCCGAAGGCCCAAAAGTCGCACAAAGTGAGTGTAATCTTTTGGAAGATATTGAGACAGTATATGGAATTCTTTCTCGGACACCGACAGACTCGGACTCGGAACATCTTTGCATTGAAAATCCGCCATATTGAATGCCCTAACATATTCTGCAGCTCTCCCTTGGTCAGCCTTGTTTAGAATTATTTCCAACTTATTCAAGTGGTCGATGTTGGGATTTTTACATAACCACTTGTATAGAATTCTAAATACTTGCTCTTCAAAATTTCTTGTGGAAGTATCTTCCTCGACATCAAAATGCCTCGCCAATAGAAAGCATGTTGTGTCACGCATCTTCTTTGAAACCACATTTAAAATCAGTTCTAAGGCTGAAACATAAAAATGCAAATTAAACTTTTAAACAGTCATTATCATTAAGTTTTGCTTTATTCTTTGATATAACGTGGTTACAACCCCTTTACTCAACAATTTCTGAGCTAAGAATGTCCATGGTACGAGTTCAGCTGGAATTGTTAAAGAAAGAAGCAAAGGTTAAGTATTTCACGTTATATGTTCACACGTTGCTTTCATCTGTCACCACTTCTACAATTATTCTATAGACATTTTGTCTCATGTAGTTCATCAACAAGTTTGCATGCATGCTACGTGTACATGTTTTATCAACTATACTGATACCTTTAATAAATTAAGAAAATCATATGATAAAACAATGATGAAAATAATTTTAGACAGCAGCATAAATCACTTCCAATTCAAGTTCTGTAATGAAACTGGACTGGTTTGTATGTTATTTCCAAACAAGAGGCAAATGAGCAACAGCGCTCACCAGGATAACAATTTGGTCCTGTGGCTCTTCACCAATTTGACGTCTTGTAATACCTATTGTCGTCCCATACTACCACAATGGATCACAATTTATACAATTTAGAATCTACATTACCCCCAGGAAGCCTCCATATAAGCTTTTCTGATTTAGTGATGCTTGAGAAGAAGACTTTTTCTCTTTGTTCCAGGGCAAAACTTAGATGCCATATTGTGGCACTGCCCTACCCTGAGGGAGATGATGGAAACAATTTAGAATCTACAATATCCATATTCTTCCAAATAAGTTTTAGCTTTTCTGGCATAGTGGCTCTTGAGATGAAAATTATTCCTATTTATTTCAATGATGTAATAAGTTCAATGATTAAATAATCGAGACATGTTTTCTGGAAGAATTTCTGGTAATATTTTTGATTTTTTTTATTCATAGCATTCAATTATTTAAAATAATTCATGAGCTCAAACACACATACTATTTGCATAATGATGTTTAAAAATACATGTAACCTTTACATTGTATTTAATATTGCAAGAAATTATTTTTTGAGAAAAATGAAAATTTAAAAATTTAGTCCGAATTCCCTCTGCATTAGCATATTACCTTTTGTTCCTGTATATTTTCTTTAAATGATAAAATAAGAAATTTGTAAATTGATATTGAGTAAAAACTTGGCTATTTTATTCATTTAGAACAATTTTTAATTTAACATAATATACTTTATAAAATTCCCTTTCTGTCTTCTGAAACCAGAGTAAACGTCATCCTTTAGTCATTCAAAAATTAGATCATCAGACAAGAAATATTTACAAAAAGGCGTGCTCCCCTCATGCACCCAATAATTGGATTTTTTTCTAATCCCAGAGGGATAACTCTGTCCAAAATTAATTTGTCATACCCAAAACAGATCTTTATCCAGATATTCTTATGATGAATATGTATACCAAATTTCATTTCAGTATGAACAACCTCTGCGAAGCAAATGAACAGAAATTTGGTGGACAGACAGACCGCCCAACCTACCGATAAACAACAGGAAAGCAATATGCCCTTGTTTTCATCGAAGGGGTGGGGATAAAAATGATCTACCTTGCCTCGAATAGCATTTCAACTGTCCAATAAAATAATTGATAATTTTTACATCTTGCATTTTCTACCAATCACAAAAGAAAGAAAGTGCACATGCCGAAGATTCTTTAAATTCTGTATCATGATCTCTACGGAATAAGTTAAAATTGACTGAATAAAAAGATACACACCTGAGACTTTTTCCTCCTTAAGATGAGACCTCTTTTGAAGCTCCTGCTTAAAACGAGAAAGAATAAAGAATGACTATAGAATGAATTTAAATTTATATAACGTAAATTTCCACCTCCTTCAATAAAGAATTCAACAATTATAATCAAGAACTTTACTCTCATTTTTAATAGTTCCATACATTCAGAATTCTTTATGGAATCATCAAAAATATTTTCTTTATTTTATAGTTATAAAAGCTTTAATCAGAAACAGTAAATTTTAGAATATTTTTTCTTCTCAAATTTTACAAGGTCATCATTTAACTAATTTATTATATTATTGTTTAATCAAAGTATAGAGTTTAATAAAGCCAAAATTATATTCTACAGAACCTTTTTCCAATATTTTGTGATATCTTTTGTGTTTATTGGATGCTTTTTATTCGCTGGACAGGATGGACATTGAAAACTCGCTCTTGTAAACATAGATTCCTTTATGACAGCGCTTTCTTTGTTGTCACAGAATCCAACAGGTTTGCATTTGAAAGCAACATCGAATCCAGAGTTTTTCTGAAACGTGTTGGCAAGATTGTTAAGTATACTTTCAATTCTTTCTCTGATCTGGTGACATGTTGAGACATCAACTTCTTCCTCCCCGTCTGTAACAAACACCTGCAGCTGAATCTCTGTTTGGGTCATTCCGATCAGAATGTTATGGCACAGGTCATGAAACATGAAAACGGCCGCAGTCTGGTATATGCATCCTCTATCTCCATCATTAAAAATCTCCCAAGGAATCTGCATGCAAGTTGCTACAAGACGATGGAAAATTCCAGCAGGAAGAACATCAAACGTGAACAGAGGATGGATGAGGCAGGGTATAATGAAAAGCAATCTGCAGGAAATGGTCTCTTGTTCATACAGGGAACATACCATTTGTTTTCATTCGTTTTAGCCAGGAGTCCTAGCTTCTCCATGTAGCGCATGATATCTTCTTTGTGTTCAAGGTACCCATTGCTGTTCATTTCCCATATCGCAGACAGCAGTGTGTCACTCAGTACTCCAGTTTCATTAAATTTGTTCCATTGTGAGGCAAGCTTAAATAAATCTTCTGCTGCGTGGTTTTTATCTGTGATTACATTTTTGAACGCATCTGCAAACCACTGAACATCAAGAATTATTATTCCTCTGAGAGATTCTTGGTTAAAGTGTAAAATTTCTCTGATGTCATGGAAAAACTGCAGCATGGTGTGAATATGTTCGACTGGTTCCAACCTCATTTCCTGTGGCAATGCTTCATTGAAAGCCAAAAGTGTCTCTTTGTTGATTATTTTAAGGTTTTTCTTTTCCTGGAAGAATTTTTCAAACATTGCCCAGGAGTATGGAAGTTTCTCTCCCCAGTGATCAAGATTTTTGACAACATCTACAACTGATGCCTTGATTTTTTCAATACATTCATTCTCATGGAATCCAACAGCAAACATCCTTTCCCTGTCAATATGTTTTTGCAGAGACGCATCCTTTGTTTCCAAACTTGTCCATATCTCACGAAAAAACTTTTCTTTCTCCTAGTAAAAAAAATTATTTGATATCGAAAATTGTTGCTATCAACAATATCAATGCTTTGTACAGTTTTAGTAACTGTGTAGTATTCAAGCACAATTGCCAGAACTGTTCTTACCTAAAGGAAAGGAAGCATACTTCAACACTGAAGCAAAGTTTAAGAACAATATTGGGGAAGGTAAAAATAATCCACTGAACACGCATAATACGATATAAATATTATATCATGGATTTTAGAGTAAGGAAAACTTCGTTAACACAAGAGGCCCATGGGCCACATCGCTCACCTGAGCACTAAGGGTTGGAAAAAGTAGAAAATGGCTTTTTATTGTGAAGTTTAAATCCAAAAGTAGTCCCATGGCCAATCATGGATTTGCTATTTTTTAGAAAATGATTTTTAAAGAATTTTCCTATATATTTCTATGTAAAACTTTGGTCAGCCATTTTGGCCCCGCCCTACCCCCGGGGTCATGATTTGAACAAACTTGAATCTACACTACCTGAGCATGCTTCCATATAAATATGATGAATTATGGCTTTGTCATTCTTGAGAAGATTTTTTTTTTTAGAATTTTCCTATATATTTCTATGTAAAACTTTGGTCTGCCATTTTGGCCCCACCCTACCCCCGGGGGTCATGATTTGAACAAACTTGAATCTACACTACCTGAACATTGCTTCCATATAAATATGATGAACTATGGCTTTGTCATTCATGAGAAGAAGATTTTTTTTTTAGAATTTTCCTATATATTTCTATGTAAAACTTTGGTCGGCCATTTTGGCCCCGCCTTACCCCATGGGGTCATGATTTGAACAAACTTAAATCTACACTACCTGAACATTGCTTCCATATAAATATGATGAATTATGGCTATGTCATTCTTGAAAAGAAGATTTTTAAAGAATTTTCCTATATATTTCTATGTAAAACTTTGGTCTGCCATTTTGGCCCCGCCCTACCCCATGGGGTCATGATTTGAACAAACCTGAATCTACACTACCTGAGCATGCTTCCATATAAATATGATGAATTATGGCTTTCTCATTCTTGAGAAGAAGATTTTAAAAGAATTTTCCTATATATTTCTATGTAAAACTTTGGTCGACCATTTTGGCCCCGCCCTACCCCCGGGGGACATGATTTGAAAAAACTTGAATCTACACTACCTGAGCATGCTTCCATATAAATATGATGAATTATGGCCTTGTCATTCTTGAGAAGAAGATTTTTAAAGAATTTTCCTATATATTTCTATGTAAAACTTTGGTCGACCATTTTGGCCCCGTCCTACCCTCGGGGGACATGATTTGAACAAACTTGAATCTACACTACCTGAGGATGTTTCCCCATAAGTTTTATCTTTCCTGGCACAGTGGTTCTTGAGAAGGAGATTTTTAAAACATACCACCCAATTTTCACTAATTCTCAATTATCTCCCCTTGAATGAGGGCGTGGCCCTTTATTTAAACAAACTTGAATCTCCTTTACCCAAGGATGCTTTGTGGCAAGTTTGGTTGAAATTGGCCCAGCGGTTCTTGAGAAGAAGTCGAAAATGTGAAAAGTTTACGGACAGACAGACAGACGGACAGACAGCTAGACAGGCAGACGGACGCCGGACAAAATGTGATCAGAAAAGCTCACTTGAGCCTTCGGCTCAGGTGAGCTAAAAAAGGACTTTTAATATTCAAAAACAAGTATGCCGTTGACAGTAACCTAGTAGTAGAGCACTCGCTTCGTGATCCAGAGGCCCGGGTTCGATTCTCTTTACCGGCGACGCATCAAACCTAAGACGTAAAAATAGGCATCGACTGTTCCTTTGGCATCAGAAGTTAAAGTCACGTGTCTTACGGATATGACCTTAAAAACGTAGGTCCCGTGTCACGGTAGTCGCTGGCAAGATAAAGAAACCTTACTGCTGAATGGCCCTGAGTTCCAAGAATATGTCTAAATTTGAAGCCCTTTACCGGCATACGGTGACGTCTCCATATAAGTGAAAAATTCTTGAGAGGGACGTTAAACAATATACAATCAATCAATCAAAAACAAGTATAAAGAAAATATTGTAGCAAGCAATTACAAGAGGCCCAAGGGCCACATCGCTCATCTGAGTATTGTAGCTAGGACCCCTCCCTCCCCCCAAAAAAATCAGTTTAGTATTTAAAAGCTTCAATGCATAAATGGTCTCAACCTACCCTTTAAAGGCAGAAGGGGTAAGGGAGAGGGGTTATGATTTGAACAAACTTGAATCTATCCTATATGAGGATGTTTCCATATAAATATGACCAACCATGGTTTTCCTGTATATGATAAACTTTGATCATCCAATGTGGCCCCACCCTACCACTGGGGGTCATAATTTGAATAAACTTGAATCTACACCATCTAAGGATGCTTCCATTAAAATATGACCAATTAGGACTTTGCTGTTCTCGAGAAGAATTTTAAGGATTTTTCCTACATATTCCTATTGAAAACTTAAATATTCCAATGTGGCCCCACCCTTACCCCCGGGGTCATGATTTGAACAAACTTCAATTTACAACACCTGAGGATCATTCCATATAAGTTTCATATTTCCTGGCCTGGCCCAGTGGTTCATGAGAATAAGATATTTGAAAAATTCCATAAATGTTTTACTAATCCATAATTATCTCCCCATGGAAGAGGGTGTGGCCCTTCATTTGAATAAACTTGAATCATTGTTACAAAAGGATATCGATAGTTTGTGGCAAGTTTATTTGAAATTTGCCCATTGGTTCTTGAAAAGAAGATGAAAATGTGAAAAGTTTACCAACAACGACGACAGACAACGGACAAAGGTCAGGTGAGCTAAACAAGAGGCCCATGGGCCACATCGCTCACCTGAGCACTGTTGCTAGGAAAAAGAAGATATTGGTTTATTATTGAAAAGTTTAAATCCCAACGTACTGGTAGTCCCATGACCAATCATGGCTATTCTTGAGAAGATTTTTAAAGAATTTTCCTATATATTTCTATGTTAAACTTTGGTCGGCCATTTTGGCCCCGCCCTACCCCTGGGGGTCATGATTTGAACAAATTTGAATCTACACTACCGTAGGATGATTCCATATAAGTATGATCAATTATGGATTTGTTATTCTTGAGAAGAAGATTTTTAAAGAATTTTCCTATATATTTCTATGTAAAATTTTGGTCACTTATTGTGGCCCCCCCCCTACCCCCGGGGGTCATGATTTGAACAAACTTGAATTTACACTACCTGAGGATGCTTCCATATAAGTTTCATCCTTCCTGGCACAGTGGTTCTTGAAAAGAAGATTTTTAAAGAATTTTCCTATATATTTCTATGTAAAACTTTGGTCGGCCATTGTGACCCCGCCCTACCCCTGGGGGTCATGATTTGAAAAAACTTGAATCTGCACTACCGTAGGATGCTTCCATATAAGTCTCATCCTTCCTGGCACAGTGGGTCTTGAGAAGAAGATTTTTAAAGAATTTTCCTATATATTTCTATGTAAAACTTTGGTCGGCCATTGTGACCCGCCCTACCCCCAGGGGTCATGATTTGAACAAACTTGAATTTACACTACCTGAGGATGCTTCTTTATAAGTTTCATCTTTCCTGGCACAGTGGTTCTTGAGAAGATTTTTAAAGAATTTTCCTATATATTTCTATGTAAAACTTTGGTCGACCATTGTGGCCCCGCCCTACCCCTGGGGGTCATGATTTGAACAAACTTAAATTTACACTACCTGAGGATGCTTTCATATAAGTTAATCCTTCCTGGCACAGTGGTTCTTGAAAAGAAGATTTTTAAAACATGCCACCAAATTTTTATAAATTCCCAATTATCTCCCCTTGAATGAAGGCGTGGCCCTTCATTTGAACAAACTTGAATCCCCTTCACCCAAGAATGCTTTGTGGGAAGTTTGGTTAAAATTGGCCCAGCGGTTCTTGAGAAGAAGTCGAAAATGTGAAAAGTTTACAGACAGACAGACGGACGGACAGACGGAGTACAGACAAAATGTGATCAGAAAAGCTCACTTGAGCCTTCGGCTCAGGTGAGCTAAAAAAGTAATATGTTGATTCCGTAACTACGAGGTGACTTAAACATATGGAATCAAGTACTAGTATTACGTTGAAAAAAATCGTTGTATTATGAAATGAAAGAAATGAAGAAAAGAGTATTTAATAGTATTTGTCAAATAGGAAGTAATGAGGTTGGATGTTTGAGTTTCAATGTCAAAAGCCTTCTATAAATAGTACAGTAGGATCTCGATAATACGGTGACAGTTTTATAAGATGAAACGTTTTTACGTTGTAAATTGAAAACACAAAACACATTCCTAACACTGTTTTCTAGTATTACATTATTTTTTATTAATCCAAAAATTTTGGTATTTCAATTTTTAAAAAATCCAAAAAGGTTCCATCCATGTTTATTCAGTACTGATAGGCAATTAACAGAAAAGGAGATGCTGAAAAACATTTTGATATTTTTGTCCAAAAATTGATATATTGCTACTTTCTTTTGCGGACGCATTCACTGCCTTTGATTGCATTAACTAGAAGGGTTTGCTGATTACGCTAAAGTTTGCTTGACATCATAAAATGCATTTAAATGTTACTTTATAAATTTGTATTCATGTCCCATTAGAGGACAAAGTTTGTTTAAAAGTGGTTATTAGAAATTTGATGAAAAAAAGGAAAATTAGCAGACGGACATACTGATAAACATATAGATAAACATAGGTAATCAGAGATTACAGAGCTCACCTCAACGAATGTTGTCTTTAAGTAAGGCAAAGTCACACAATTAACCAACAAAAAGTATACATTCCAAAAATGAAAATATTTTTAAAAGCAATTTTGATCTGATACTTTGAAATAGACCTACATAAAAAATTCAAACTACTTCTTCTTCATGAAAATGTAATGAAAATCCAGCATCTGAAGCAAATTTGAGAGTTTTCATTTCTTGATGCAGCATTTGTGCAAGTTTGGTTTATACAATGTTATATTAGCCTTATAGTTTTTGGTAATAGACCTGCAACCATAACTTTTACCTTGTCTATTATCTGAAAAATGTATGTCCAATTCAGTATCCGAAGCAAGTCCATTAGTGTGCATCCTTAGATGTATCATCCATGCAAGTTTGCTCATTATAGGGCTCATAGTTTATTGGAAATGAATTATGCATCAAAACTGACATTTTCACTTATCCACAAAAAGTAGGTCAGATTCAGCATCCGAAGCAAGCCTGGAAGTATGCATCCTTAGATGTATCATCTATGCAAGATTGGTCATTAAAGAACTCATATTTCTTTGGAAATGAAACCTGCACCAAAAACTTTTAACTATTCACTCAACCGGAAAATGTAGGTCAGATTCAGCAACCGAAGCAAGCCTGGTAGTGTGCATCCTTAGATGTATTATCCATGCAAGTTTGGTCAACATAGGGCTTAAAGTTACTTGCAAATGAAACCTGCACCAAAAACATTAGCCTGTTCCCTCAACTGGAAAATGTAGGTCAGATTCAGCATCCAAAGCAAGCCAAGTAGTATGCATCCTTAGATGTATCATCCATGCAAGTTTGGTCAACATAGGGCTTATAGTTACTTGGAAATGAAACCTGAACCAAAAACTTTAACCTGTTCACTCAACTGGAAAATGTAGGTCAGATTCAGCATCCGAAGCAAGCCCGGTAGTATGCATCCTTAGATGTATCATCCATGCAACTTGGTCAACATAGGGCTTATAGTTACTTGGAAATGAAACCTGCACCAAAAACTTTAACCTGTTCATTTAACCTGAAAATGTAGGTCAGATTCAGCATCCGAAGCAAGCCCAGTAGTATGCATCCTTAGATGTATCATCCATGCAAGTTTGGTCAACAAAGGGCTTATAATTACTTGGAAATGGAACACGCACCAAAAACTTTAACCTGTTCACTCAACCGGAAAATGTAGGTCAGATTCAGCATCCGAAGCAAGCCCGATAGTATGCATCCTTAGATGTATCTTCCATGCAAGTTTGGTCAACATAGGGCTTATAGTTACTTGGAAATGAAACCCACACCAAAAACTGCACCAAAAATGTTAACCTGCTCCAAAAACATTAACCTGGTAATTCCTTTGCTGAAATTGCAGCATCTGAATCTTTGTCTGGTACAATAAAACACACTAAAACCATCTTCCATGCATGTCTAATCAGTATAGGACACAGAAGTAATTAAAAAGAAAACTGCTCCAAAAAACTTAACCTTAACCTGGGACGCCGACGCCGACACCGACGCCGAGGGTATCACATAAGCTCCCCCCAACTTCGTTGAGGTGAGCTAAAAAGTGAACAGAAAATATCAGTTGTCTTAAACCTTTGTTTAGATGTGCTTAAATTATTATATATTCTGACATTTTTCATGACTGGGAATGAAAGAGGTAATGATGCTTTTATATTGATGACCAATCATGACTCTATTGTTCTTGAGAGAATTTAACGTTTCAGTGCATTCCTACTTAAAACATTGCTCACCCATTTTGGCCCTAATCTTCCCTCAAGGGTCATGATTTGAATAAACTTGAATTTACACTAAATTTTGTGATGTTTCTATATAAGTATGACCAATCATGGCTTTTTTCTAACTTTGACCCCCCATTGTAGCCCTATCCTACCCCCGGGAGTTATGATTTGAAAAAAAAAATCTTCAAATCCAGATGATGCTTTTACATTAGTTTAAATTTTGCTGGAAAAGGCCATTTATTTGAATTTGAATTCCCTTTACCCAGATACTTTGTGGCAAGTTTGTCTAAATTGGCCTTGTGGATCTTGAGAAGAAAATGAAAATGTGAAAAGTTTACAACGACAACAACAACGACGACGACAAACAACGAACATCTTTTGATACGAAAAGCTTTCGCAGATATTAATATCAAATACCTCTTTTGCCTTCCTTTCAGCATGAGTGCCCACCAGTAAAACAGGAGCCTTTTCACTGCTGTATTGATGAATGGACTTGGCCCAGAATGTGAGATAGTCTGAATAATATAAAAAAATCAACATTAACTCAATAACTTTATTAATAATCATAAATGATGCACAACCCTGTAAGCCTATTTTAAACAACATTTCGTCTATATCATGTTGATGAGTATAATCAACTCCAACTTGGCTCAGAATGTTAGATAGTCTAAATTAAATAAAAATCAACAATTACTCAATGACTTTATCAATAAATACAAGACTATAAATGCTAAAGCACACATTAAACCACCGGTAGCCTTTACTATGTTCATGAGTGTAATCACCTCCAGAGGAAAGATAATGTACATTAATTTAGTTTTGACATGAATTCAGTCATAATGCAATCACCAAAACTGCAATTTTCTGAGGGCTTAATCTTCGAAGATAAAATTATTCAATGTTGCTGAAAAATCTTGCTAGATGAAATTATTAAAAGTTACTGAATCCTCCGGTACTGAGCAACAATTCATTTAAGTATAAATGTGTGTCCTTTCACAGGCTATACCAGATTCTTAGACCACAATAATCCCATCAATCTTACAGACCGACATCGCCCAACTTAGCAATGGCCCCGGAGCCACATCGCTCCCCTGAGCAATAGCTTAAGAAAAAACTAGGGCTAATTGTAACGGGAACCGTTACAGATGTTCCCCAAACGCTCCCCAACTCCCTTTTGGTGCCTTATTCCCTGTAAGCTTCATTAAATAAGACGAACTCTATGCCTTTTAGACTATAACAATGTTTTCCCAGAAGTATATTCAGTATATTCAAATTTATGCATTGCACGCATGCGCATTTGAATGCATGTGCGTAATGACCATATCATCTTGTCTACACTATTTATATACTAGAAATTACAGCATTATATCCAAAAGTATTAAAAAATACATTTTAATCTAGTGTATTTGTAATTTTACTCATTTCACGTGCACGCCCGTGCATGCATGTGCATGTCAACTGTATCTTCTTGTAGGATTCTGTTATGTTTGTCTATGTTCTAAATCCCATCCTTTTTGGTTGAAAAACGAGGAAGTTATAGCCATTTTAATTTTAAGCCAATCAGATTGCAGCGCACGTGTATGCGCATGTTTTCACGACAACTGTTATATATCATATTGTAGGGCATCCTAATGCATGATTATGTTTAAAATTTTAAAGCATTTCGTCAAAAATTAAAAAAAAGATATTGCGATTTTTGTTTCAGCGAATCACAGCAAAGCACACGTGCATGCACGTGCATGCACGTGCATGCAAGTGCATGACGACCATACCTCCTTGTGGGAGTCCATTATGTTTGCCTATGTTCTAAATCCCATACTGTTTCGTTGAAAATCAAGGGAGTTATAGCCATTTAAAGTTTAAGCCAATCAGATTGCAGCGCACGTGCATGCGCGTGTTTACATGACAATTGTTATATATCATATTGTAGTACATCTTAAAGTATGCCTATATTTTATATTTCATAGCATTTCGTCAAAAAACAGAAAAGATATTGAGATTTTTGTTGCAGCCAATCAGAGCGAAGCGCACGTGCATGCGCGTGAGTTCGTGCTAAATTGACAGTGTCACATTATCTAAACAATTAATATATCCTTATTAAATGAGTTTTAAAATATTTCATCAAAAAATGTTAAAGTTATGGCTATATAAAGTATATCCGTCATTTCACTCATTTCACGCGCCCGCACTTGCATGCGTATGCGCGCAAAATAACCTTCGTGTTGCACACCTACACTACACACCTATTAACCCTAAAAAGGTTTTAGCTCAATTGGGTGAACAGTTTCTGAGAACACTCGCGGACAAAAAAAGTACCGGAGAACAAAGAAGAAAAAAAAGAATAATAACTAGATGAGATCTCGTTGCGAGCAACGAGTAGGTCTTCCGTTAAATTTCTAGATAAGATGAGATGTGATTTTGACTGAGATATTCGTTAAAAGAGAATGACATTAAGTTTTTCTTCATTAAATTTAAAGTTTCTGTTTTTTTATCCAATATTCTGAGCATCTTTTGTTAAATATTGCTTATAAAAATACTCCCCCTTTTCGAGACGTAAAGCATAAAAAATATAGCATTTTGGCCCCTGGCGATCCCTTATTACATAACATATGATCAAACTATTATAACATATTGTTGCATATCGTTAAAATGAATATCTTTGCTTCTCAAAATGTATACTTATTACAAAATATGGATCATTAAAGAGTTAAAGACTTCTGGCCCCGCTGAGCCCCTAATTTGATGAGAGGGTCCCTTTTTCTTGATATCAAACGTTAGGGCTTGTGATTTCAAAGACTTTTTGTTATACACTTGTTTAGAGATTTCTTTTCGTTTAGGAGAAATGCTTAATATAAATATTTAGGGGCTACCCCTTCAAGTCCTTAATGGGGCCTGTTTACCAAAATTCAAAGTATGCATATTGTTTAAAACATTATTCTGACCATCCTTTCTTCAATATTACTTATCAAAATTTTCCCCCTTTTCGAGATATCAAGCGTCATAGATTTGACATTCTGGCCCCTTGTGACCCCTAATTACGTAACATATGATCAACATTTTATAATTTATCGTTGCAAATTGTTAATATGAACATCTTGCTTCTAAAACACATCATTAAATTTTGATCATTAAAGAGTTTAAGATGAAAGACTTCTGGCCCCTCGCAGCCCCTAATTTGAGGAGTCGGCCCTTTTTCTTGATGTCAAACGAAAGGTCTTGTGATTTCAAAGACTTTTTGTTCTACACCTATTCAGAGATTTCGTTTCGTTTAGGAGATATGCTTAATATAAATATTTAGGGGCCACTCCTACAAGTCCTTAATGGGGCCGTTTTACAAAAATTCAAAGTATGCATATTGTTTAGCACATTAATCTAGCAATCTTTTGTTCAGTATTGCTTATCAAAATATTCACCCTTTTCGAGGAATGAAGCGTCAAAGATTTGACATTCTGGCCCCTTGTGACCCCTAATTACGTAACATATGATCAAAATTTTATCATATATTGTTGCAAATCGTTAATATGAACATCTTTGCTTCTGTAATGCATCACAAAATATTGATAATAATAATAATAATAATAATAATAATAATAATAATAATAATACTTTATTTTAAGAGGGTAACCCGATTAGTGCAATGCACTAGTCTTCCTCGGGGCCCTCTAAGCATGTTCACAATAATACAATAATACAATAATAAAATCATTGTACAATAATAAATAATACAACATGACGTAAAAATACAAGTACATATAGATTTCAGGAGATTTTAGTTGCGGCATGTTATTATGAATTTTTCTACATTTTTACGAAATGTGTGTAAATTCTGTGAAAAACGTATGTACAAAGGTAACTTGTTCCATAAATGAACACCGGAATAATGAAAAGAATTTTTAAATTGATTTTTTCGATATTTCGGTAGATGAAGGTCATAGTTTGTTTCAGATCGTAGAGCATAACTACTAGAAGAAATAAATTCAAAAGAGTCTCTTAAATAAGTAGGTGCCATACCATGAAGTGTTTTGTACAGTAATATATATTTATGAAAATCGATCAACTCGTAAATAGTCAGCCATCCAAGTTTTTCGAATAATGGTAGTGAAGGGGCATCATAAGCCACATCTAGTATAATACGGGCTGCCCTTTTTTGCAATTTAAAAACTCTATCTATGCCAGCACCTGGCGCATTACCCCAAATAGTTAGGCAATAATTCAAAGAGGGCAGAATGTATGCATTATAGAATAGTTTTCTTGTGTGTAAGAGAAGGAATTTTTTAATTTTGCATAAGGTATATAATTTATATGTCAAAGATTTACAAACTGAGTCAATATGGTGATTATAGCGCAATGAACCATCAATATGCACTCCCAGAAGTTTTTCAGATTTAACATTTTCAATTAATTTGTTTGAAGCATATAAATTTAGTTCAGGTGAATATATTCTTGATTTTCTCTGCTGAGTTCCCATAAGCATACATTTTGTCTTATTGGTATTTAACACCATTTGATTTTTGGAACACCAATTTTCAATCTCACACAAATCAAGGTTAAGGGCATTCTCAATACCTTCTATATTTTTATGATATGTATGC